AGCCAGGAGTGTTCCCTGAGCACAGGGCCAGGAGGAAGCCCTGAGCCCAGCCAAGTGTGTCCCCAAAACAGAACAGACCAAAAAAAAGTCTTAAAAGAGGGTCTGGGGCCTGAGGATGTGGGTCTTGGTGGGAGCCCTGCACCTGTGAGGCCCGGCTTCCATCTCCCCAAGAGAGCGCCACGTGCTGGAGTGATAGCACAGCGGGCAGGGCATTTGCCTTGCACACGGCTGGCCAGGGTTCGATTCCTAGCATCCCTTGTGGTCCCTGAGCCCACGAGGAGTGATTCCTGAGTGCAGAGCCAGAGTAACCCCTGAGCATCACCGGGTGTGACCCAAAAAGCAAAAATGAACAGAGCGCCCCGGGACTGGATGCTACTTCTCCAGGAGCCCACTCTGAGGGCAGGCCTAGGCAGACCCCCTGGATCGGCTCCCCAGGGGGGTCTGGTCTCAGCAAGAGCCGCGCCCGCTAGCACCGCTGTTTGTACGAGGTCAAACCTGCTGTGGACGGCGTTTGCTGGCCCGGGCAGCGGCACTGCAGTGCGTGGGAAGAAAGCCAGCAATGCACGGGGCAGCCCGGGGCCACCACTCTGGGCCGGAAAGGGTGCCCCCCAGCCGCGGCGACAACCCCCGCCCTTCGCTGTCCTCCAGAGAGGGGCCGAGAAGCCCCCCTGAACCCAGGCCTCGGCAGGGCGCCCGCCCCGGCCCGCTCAGGGCCCCTGCTGCCACCTGCCGGTGGGAAGCGGTACCGCAGCCGCCGGCGGTTGGCCCTCGGGCGCCCCGCGGGGAGGGACCCCGGGAGCCTCACGCACCCGCCTTCTCCTTCGACGGAAAACTCGTTTGCGGCTGTGGCTGAAAGCCGCTGGCTCCTGGGTCGGAGAGCTCGGACGCGCCTGCCTCGTTTTTCTTTTCTTCTTCCTCCGCCTCTTTCTCCTTCCTGGCCAAGCTCTCCTGCAGGAACTGAGGGCAAGCCAGGCTCAGAAGTGAGGGGCCCGCCCCGCCCCCCACCCCGCCCCGTCAGCCGGAGAGCATCAGGGAACATCTGGAGAGTGTGCAGGTCGCCCCTGAGCGGGGTGAGCCCCCGGGTCGGAGGGGGGGCAGGGCACAGTTCAGACCGCTGGGGCATGTGCTTGGCACAGGAAGCCTGCTCTGCCCCCCAGCACTGTGCCAGGAGTGGGTCCCGAGCATGGCCCCCCAAAACAAAGAAGGGGAATAGAGAAAAGGGGGTGGCAGGGAGGTAGAGCACTGCGAGGCCTCTGTTCCCAGCCCCACGTGGCCCTCTGAGTGCCACCAGGTGTGGCCCCTCCATAGTAACACACAAGGCCGGGTTCCAGGAGCCCGAGACACAGATCCTGCGCCCCCCCACCCCCCCTCACCCCCAGACCTTGGCCATGGCAGATTTCTGCAGCTGCTTGTACAAGTCAAGAAGGTGGTACCAGGCGGCTCCGCCCACCGTGGAGGAGGCTGGCCTGGGGTCTCCTGTGCAGGGGGAGCAGACACGGGTGGACAGGCTCAGGGAGGGCTGAGCTGCGGGCGGGGTCCCCATGGTCCAGCCCCACCCCTGCACTCCGAGGGGCCACTGTCCACCCATTGTGTAGGTGGGGAGACTGAGGCCCGCACCTGCCCCGCACCCCCACCGGCCCGCGGGGACCACACGCACCGTCCCCTGTGCGCTCCTGCTGCTGCTCCCTGCTGGAGGCCTCGGGCTCGTTCTCGGGGGTTGCAGGGGCCTGTCGCAGGGCCTGGGTGACAGGGGCCCTGCGCAAGAGCAGGGTCAGCTGGGCCTGGCATGTGCCCCCGCAGACCTACAGGCACCCCCACCCCCGCCAGGCTTCTACCCTGAACCTTGGGGCTTCTGCCTTGGGGCATGAAGGGCCACCCCTCCCCAGAGGCTCACCCCCTTCCCAGCCCTGGGCTGCCCCCTGTACTCCACCCCAGCCCCTCCCCCTTGGGGGCCCTCATCTCTGCCACGTCCACCCCCCCCAGGCTCCCCTCCCCTTGATGTGCCCATCCCTTCCCTGTTCCCGACCCCTCCTGCCCCTGCCAGGGGCCCCTCCCACCCCCATGCCCCACGTGACCCCAGCACCCCAGTCCAGGCTCTGTCTTCATCTGAGTACACTGGACACAGCCCCTACCTGTCCGCTATCCCTGTGGCCCCGGTGGGCCTGCCTGCCACCACCTCCTCGTCCCCGTCCTCCTCTTCCTCTTCCTCCTCTTCCTCCTCCTCATCCTCTTCCTCGCCTTCTTCCTCTTCCTCTTCTTCTTCCTCTCCCTCCTCCTCCCCTTCTTCCTCCTCCTCTTCCTCTTCCTCCTCTTCCTCCGCCTCTTCGTCGTCCTCCTCCTCCCTCGCCCTCCATTTTCTCTCCTCAGACAGGCTGACCAGCCCCTTCTGGCTCTCTCTGGCCAGGGCGGATGTCACGGGGACCCCCGGGGCCCACGATGGGGTGGGGGGGTGGGGGTCGCTGTCCCGCTGCAGCGTGGCCTCCTGCATGGGCTCCCCCTGGCCCCCCTGGCCCTCCATCCCCAGGCCTGGCTGGTCCTGCCTCTGGAGGCCGCGGCCCCGGGCCCCCCACAGCACCTCGTCAGAGCTCTCCGGGCTCCTCTTGCTCCCCACCAGGCTGCGGAAAAAGCAGAACATGGAGGAGGCCCCTGAGACGGGGATCAAGGGCCAAGGCCCAGGGCCTCCATCCCCGGGCTGGGACTGCGGCCCCCTGCCCACCGGACCAACTGTTGAAGAACAGATTTTCCAGTTGGAAACTTCCAGAGATTCTAAGGCAAAGGTCATGGAGGGGGGAGGGGGTGATGAGGAGTGAGGAGGTGGGGGGGGCAGCTGGAGGGGACTGATGAACCTGGGGTGGGGCTAGGGCCGGGAGGGGACAGTCTCAGGGACAGGGCCAAGCAGGCACCTCTCTTCCTGGCTTGGGCCCTTCTGACTGTTGACTCAACTGGAGGCCAGCGCCTCCAGGTAACACAAGCTCCCCCCTTTTGCTCGTCTGCCACCTTATGGGTGGGGGTGGGGAACGGATTCACCCTAAGACCACCGAGCCTGTCTGTGAGATCTTTTTGTTTTTGGTTTTTGGCCCACACCCAGCGATGCTCAGGGGTTGCTCCTGGCTCTGCGCTCAGGAATTACTCCCGGCGGTGCTTGGGGACCATATGGGATGGCGGGGATCGAACCCAGGTTGGCCGTGTGCAAGGCAAATACCCTACCCGCTGTGCAATGGCTCCGGCCCACCTGCCAGATCTTGATTTGCTTTATCTCCCAGGGCACTGATTTTAAGCCCAGCCGGTCCCTTGGGACAGTTCCCTCCCTGCCGACCTCTGCTAGTTCACCTGTAAAATGCTTGCAACAGTTGCCAAATTCCACTGGCAGGTTGTGGAGAAGCATCCAGAGGACTGTGGCTGCTGAAGCACATGAACACACACAGTGGCGAGTCAGTCCGACGCCTCAGCTCCTGAGGATGGAGAGACACTGCACGGGTAAAGCGCTCCCCTGGTCCACAGCGGACCCCATTTCATTCCTGGCACTGCATTAGGGGGCCCCTTGAGCACAGAGCCAGGCGCGTGGCCCCTGAGTACCACTGGGTGTGGCCTCCTAACATTCTTCCACCCCCCACTCCCCAAAGCAAGCACCATCCTGGGGGCCAGGGAGGTGGATGAGTGGTTAGAGCCCCTGGGTGCCATCCCGACAGCAGGGCCGGGAGCAGGGCCGGGCGGCGCGGAGGCGGGATGCGGCGGGGGGCGGGGGCAGCGGGCCGGGCCGGAGCATCCGGCCGCCGCGCCGCGACTTCCTCTAGAGGGAGCGGATTGCAGGAGCTGGACGCGCTGGGCCGCGGCCGGCGGGCGCCCAGCTGCCCTGTCCGCGCCGCTCGCCGCTCGGGCCGGCCGGCCAGGTGAGTGGGGGGGGTCCTCCGTGCTGGGGCGCGGGCGGCGCGGGGTCCCTCCCCCACGCCCGGCCCGCGGCCTGCCGCCCCGCGCCCCGCGCCCCGCGGCCACCGGGGCCGGGGATGTGGGGCCGGGGCGACCGGGCGGGGGCGGCGGTCAGCGGCAAGGTCGGCGTCCGACAGGTGGGGCTCAGAGACGCTCCCTCCCAGGAATCCAGGCTCCTGGGGAGGCGGGGACGGGCCGGGGGCGGGGCGAGGGGGCAGTTTCAGCCGCCCCCCCCAACTCTGAGCGCGGGGCGGGGGTGGAGTGGGGCGTCAGCATCCTCCTGGCCCGGCTGTCCTGGGGCTGGCCGGCACCGAGGAGCCCCAGACTGGGGGCAGTGGGGGGTCTGTGAACGCGCCCCGCAGCAGCGCACCCTGCGGTCCCCTCCCTCCACCCCGCCGGACAGCTCCTGTGACTCCCTCTGAGAAGGCGGCAGGGCAGAGGGGGGAGGGGGAGCGCCCCCAGGGGCGTCCCCAGGCCCCCCGGGATGATGGAGCTGGAGGAGGCGGGGTGTCGGGGTGGTGGGGAAATGAAGGGGTGCAAACTGAAAGTGAAACGGCTCACATCCAGGAAACAGTCCTGCGTGGACCCGCCGCCCGGGCTGGCCAGAGGAAAGCCGGGTTCCAGCGGGCCAGGACAGGTGGGGTGTAGAGGGGGTCACACAGAGGGACGGGAAGGAGGCCCCTGGGGTCCAGCCTGGAGAGGAGGCTTGACAGGAGCCCCAGGCTGGGGGTGTGGGTGGGGGTACCATGGGGTAGGACTTCCCCGGGCCCCCGCAGCCTTCGGTGTCTCTTGTGGGCCTGTGGCGGGCGCCCCGGGGGACTTTGGTGTCCAGCACTGAAGGCGGAAGCAGGACTGAGCGAGTGCTGGGCAGGGTGAAGGGGCTGAGAGCACCCCAACTTGGAACGGGGCTGCGGAGGTGCTGGGCACGGGGTGGGGCGCTGGCCGGGAAGGTACCCTGTGACCCCGGATGGCAGGAGGGCGCAGGGCTTGGCCAGGAGCAGGGCCCCCCCTTCCTGTGCGGCCTGTGTGTCCCCATTTCTGCCTTTGCTCCCCCGTTCCCGCAGACCAACACTGCCATCAGCTGAGACATGGCATCGGGGCCGGGCCCAGGCCCCCCCCAGCAGGACTGCGGGGAGCCCGACCTGTCCTCCACCACAGGTAGGCGGGAGGGTGTCGCCCCCAGAGAGGGGACCAGCCCAGTGGGCTCGGAAGCTGGGTGCAGTCAGGGTTGGGCCTGAGAGCCGGCAGGGTGGCCTGGTGCTATCGGGAAAGGAGGAGGAGGAGGAAGAGGAGGAGGAGGAAGAGGAGGAAGCCGGTTGCGGTGCCCTCCTAGCGGTGGCGGGAGAAATAAGGAAGTGAGCTGGGGGGCCTGGTTGTGGCTACATTGCGGTGGGGTTCACGCCTGACCCTGCCTTCCCCAAGCCACTGGGCCGGGGCCCTGGGACACAGGAGAGCCACCTTGGGGGCCTGGCGGGACCTGAGCGCCCGGCTCCTGACATTGGAGCCACGTGGGCCCATTGGGGAGGCCGTGCCTCAGTTTCCCCCCCATCCACTCTGGCTTGTGTCCACAGAGGAGCAGGTGGCCCTGGACACTGAGGAGGTGTTCCGCAGCTATGTCTACCACCGGCACCAGCAGGAGCGGGCCGAGGGCGAGGCTGTGCCCCTCGACCCGGAGATGATCACTCTGCCCCTGGAACCGAGCAGGTGTGGGGCCCTCAGGGCGCGGTGGGGGGGGGGGGGTTGCCGGGCGTCCTGAGAGCTGGGTTGGGTCATGTTCCCGCTAGAGAAGCTTCGGGACTTCAGGGGCCATTCTGCTCACACCCTCCCCTTCCCCCAGCACCATGGGGCAGGTGGGCCGGCAGCTCGCCATCATCGGGGATGACATCAACCGGCGCTATGACGCTGAATTCCAGGCCATGCTGGAGCAGCTGCAGCCCACAGCGGAAAACGCCTACGAGTATTTCATCAAGATCGCTAAAAGGTACCCGGGCCGAAGGGTGCCAGGGGCTGGCCGCTCTGCCCGCCCGGGGGGACCCCTGGCTGCTATGTCCCATCTTGGGTGTCCAGATACCTTGTCTCCCGTACACAAGGCACAGTGCCTGGGAGGCCTCGACCAGGTGACAGAGGAAGACTGTCTAGGGGTGTCTCCAGAGCCCCCCAGCCCAACTGGGGACACAGCTGTCCTTTTGTTCTGTTTTAGGGCCACACCAGGCGGCTCTCGGGGCTGACTCCTGGCCCTGTACTCAGGAATCATTCCTGGTGATGCTCAGGGGACCTTACTGAATCCGTTGGCCATGTGCGAGGCTAACACCCTCCCTGCTGTGTTATGGGCCTCCACAGCGGTCCTTCTAACCTAAAGAAAGCCACAGCTCCCCCCCCCCCCAAAAAAAAATGGTTCTGCCTCTCCTGAAAGGTCTGGCAGTGGCTCCCAGGGGACCCTCCAGCTGCCCGTCAGCCCTCCAATCTCAGCCTTGTCTCTCTGAGGCCCTTGGAAGGCGTCCCATCCCCACTTCCTTATCTGTGGGAAAACGGGGACATCTGCTGAGAAGGGCGTCCCCACTCCCAGGGGCTGGGGGTGATCTTGGGGTCAGGCCTCACAGAAGCAGGGGTGAGGCGGGAGGAGGGGTCGGGCTGCAAACCAGGACTCCCCCGCCGGCTCCCCACACCCACCTAACCCCTTCTCTGTCCTTCCTTCTCTCTCTGCTGCCCCTCGGGCTGCCAGGCCAGCAGCACGGCCCACAGGTAATCTCCCCACGCCCCGTTCTCCGCCCTCTGCCCGGCGCCGTGGGCCTGGGCTGCACCCATCCTCCCCCCCCACCCCACCCTCCCCTTTCACCGGCAGGCCGGGCCGGCCTCTGCACCTTGACTCACACCCAAGCCGTTTGCTTTCCGACTGAGAAGGGCCAGACTAGGGCCTGGGGGGGGGGGGGGGCGCTGTGGGGTGGGCCCTAGTGACCCAGCGGGTGCTCTGCCCACAGCCTCTTTGAGAGCGGTATCAACTGGGGCCGCGTGGTGGCGCTCCTGGGCTTCGGCTACCGCCTGGCCCTGCACGTCTACCGCCGCGGCCTGACCGGCTTCCTGGGCCAGGTGACCCACTTCGTGGCCGAGTTCATGCTGCACAACTGCATCGCCCGCTGGATCGCACAGAGGGGCGGCTGGGTGAGTATGGGAGGGAGGTGAGGGGGGGGATGCTTGCACCCGGCCTGCCGGGCCCACCCTATGCCTTCCACTGTTCTTATCCTGCGTCTGCCCTGTAGGTGGCAGCCCTGGACCTGGGCAATGGCCCCATCCGCAACGTCCTCATCGTGCTGAGCGTGGTTCTGCTGGGCCAGTTCGTGGTACGAAGATTCTTCAAGTCCTGACCACTCCCCCCACCTCAGGGGCCCTTGGGGGAGTTTGTTGCTGACACCCCCCCTCCTGCCTGGACTTCATACAAGTCTTCCCCTCACCCTATCCCTCCTCCCCTGCAGGGGTCACTCCCTCAAGACTACAGAAGCTTTAGCAAGTGGGCCTTCGAGCTCGGGAGCGCCCTGCCTGGGCTGCAGGGCCCCCCAACATTGCATGGTGCTAGTGCGCCCCATCATGCCAGAGAGGGGCGACAGCCTCCGTCCTCAGCTCCGGGAGTCCCCCCAGTCCTGTCTGCTGGAGGAGGGTACTTGAGGCTTGAGCGTGGGTGAACCACTTTCCCCCAAGTTTTTACCTTTTTCGCTTTGTATCATGCTCCGGGGTGGTGGGGGGACCCCACACCCACTCTTCTGAGCCCGGATTCCTGCAGCTCTCCTGGACCGGCAGGGTTCAGCTCTTGGCTGGTGCCCAGTTGTGTATCCCCTGGGAGCAGGACAGGCTGGTGTGGGGGCCGAGGGCCCTCCAGCTCCCCACCCCACCCCCCACCCCCTTGCTGCCTCGGCAGTTGGACTCTCAGGGATTGTGGGCCTGGGCTGTGTGGGGTATCTGAATAACTGTCAGGTCCCTCCACACTTGCCCCCCCAGACTTTGGTCACCCCTATCCTGCCTGCCCGTCCCATGACCACTTGCTCCAATCCACCTGCATGCTCAGGTGAAGGGGGGGCAGGGCCTGACTGAGCCGGGTGCTAACCTTACCCTTCCTGGCCCCAGTGTAAGGCACATACCTGTCAGGGAAAGAAGAGGAGAGCGCTGGCCCTGGGGTTCCCGCTGGAGAGGGGGGCTCTCCTGCCATTAGGAAGCCCGGTGGGGCTCCTTGCTCGTGGTCTGGGCGCAGTGTAATCTGGGGGTGTGGTGGGGGGGGCTGTGAATACTTGAGCTCTGACCGGCTCCTCCCCGCCTGCTGGGGTGGGGGCCTCGTGGATCTTGCACATCGAAGGGGAAGAGAGGTTCTTGATGAAGCCAAATGTGGGGGTTGGGGGGAGTGTCGCGTAGGCAGTCCGCTGCCACCCCTGCCATCCGAGTTTGTCCCGTAATAAACCGCAGTGCCCCCACTCCCACTGGGCATGTCTGTATCCTCTGCTGGCCGAGGGGTGGGGGGGTGGGGTGCGGGATGGACCGGCCAACCTTGGCATCGCCCAGACGGGCCTCACGTTGGGCAGATGCTGCAGACGGGCCATGGGGCTCCAGCACCGGAGGGATTCAAGCGCCTTCTCCGCCTGCAGCTCCCGAGTGCCGGCCCGCTGGGGAGACCCCCACAGGTCACCCCCCCCCCCCAAGCCCTTCATCCCAGCACGCGGCTGCTGGGGACACCGCGTCCCCGCTCTCCTTGCCAGCGTCCCCACAGCCGGCACGCAGGGCTTTTCATTCTCCTTTGTGCCGCCAGGGAGTCCCTATGGGGATGCAGGCAGGGGTGATAAAAATAACAAGTATGGGGGCGTTCAAATGTTCCCAAACCTGCAGTCCTTGCAGTCCCGGCCACCCCGGGCTCTGACGTCCTTCCACCAGTCACCCGCGGTCCTAGAGGACTCGGGCTACCCCTCCCGCCCCGGGGGGGGTGGGAGTCGCGCCCGTGCCCGGCCATCCCGGAGACGGGGGGTGATGACTGGCTACCGGGACCCCCCGAGTACGCCGCAAGCCCCCCGCCCGATGCTTGGGGAACACAGCCCGCACACACATCTATCTCCCAGCTGAGACTTTAATCACCCCCGCCGCCCCTCCCGGATCTGACGGCGGCTGCCCGCCTGCAACTGCCGCTCCCGGGCCCGGGAAGGGGAGGGCGAGCGGCCGTTAGCGCCGCGACCCGGGCCGGACCCCTCGCCGCTCCCCTCCGCGCGAAGGCGCCCCGAGGCGGGCAGGCTGCCCGCACCCAAGATGGCGGGCGCCGCGTCGCGCCCGCTTGTAGGCGGGGCCCTCAAGCCCCGCCCCTTCCCCCTCCCTGCTCTCTATAGGGCGGAGCCGGAGCTTGGGAGGCGCCGATGCTGCGGTGCCCGCGGGACCCGCTGCGGACAGAGTCCAGCGCCGGCAGGAAGGGGGCGGTGGCCGGAGAGAGGGCTCGGGCGGCTGGCGCAGCACCGGGCAGCTCCGGTTTCATCACCGCAAGATGCCCTGAGCACCGCCCGGGGTGACCCAAAAGTCAAAAAAAAAAAAAAAAAAGGAAATTGAGATTCTGAAAAGGATAAAGAACTCCCCAAGGTTTTGCCAGACGCCCCTCCCTCCCCCATGTCCCACTTTACCGTCTAGACTGCTGCCAGGATGAAGTTAAACCGAAATCTCAGAGCATTCCTAAGCAAGTTCAGCTCGGAAACCAGGGTGTGAAAAGTGGGAGGGCCAGTTGATAGGGATTATGGTCCCCCCCCACCCCCCCGTGATAGGACAGCAGGGAAGGCGCTTGCTTTGCACGCGACTGACCCAGTTTTTTGTTTTATTTTTAAAAAGATTTTTTTTAAAAGTTTAGTCACCTGAAATTACAAAGTTATTCATGATTGAGTTTCAGGCATACAATGTTTCAACACTGACTCCCTCACCAGTCTGACCTAGCTTTGATCTTTTGCACCCCATAAGGTCTTTGGAACCCATCAGGAGTAATTCCTGAGCACAGAGCAATGGAGCACTGCAGGGTGAGGCCCCCAAACAGGGGCTGTGAGGATCCAGGGCTTTTACAGATATTAAAGGAATTTGCAACATTTCCCCTCCACCCAGTTCAGGGACCTCTCTCTGTGGAGCTGGGACAGTCTCGCCATGCAACCGAGGGTCTTCATGCCAGCAGTGCCCACCTATTGTGCCCGCAGCCTTCTGCAGCTGACCCTTGTTCAGTCCTATTTCCCTCCTGTCGACCTACCGCCTGGCCATCCAGACCGTCTTTAATTAGAGGAGATCTTCATTTGTCCAACCCACTCAGTGATTTGAACAAGTTTGTGTTGTCTAGCCATCTGAAGAGCATGAACATAAATCACAGCCAGGGTGGGAGGGGAGCACTGCGGAAAGATACTCACCTTGCGTGCAGCCAACCCAGTTCAATCCCTGGCACCACAATCAAAGGCATTTTTAAAATTAGACTTAGTCTAACAGATATTCATAATCCTGCGTGCATGAGCATGCTCGTGCACGTGCGCGCGTGCACGTGTGTGTGTGTGTGTGTGTGTGTGTGAGAGAGAGAGAGAGAGAGAAAGAGAGAGAGAGAGCGAGCGCTCAGATTGCTGGAGGTATTGCAAATGCAACTTGTAGCTTCTAGGACGTTTCCACCAATTTACCAATTTCCCGACACGTTTGGAAAGTGAACACCAGATGACCGGTGAGGGACAGGCCAGATTGGTAGTACAGCGGGTAAGGTGCTTTTCTTGCACACAACCAAGTTGGGTTCAATCTCCAGCATCCCATATGGTCCCCCAAGCACCACCATTCCTGAGTGTAGAGCCAGGAGTAACCCCTGGATGTGTCCTCAAAACCAAAAAAAAAAAAAAAAAAGAAAGAAGTTCAGCCCATCAGATGACAGGAGACCAACACAGTGGTCTGGCCTCCAAGCCCGTGGCTGGAAGAGCAGATTCTTGGGGAGCTATAGAAATGATCTGGCATGGAGCCAGCATACGACCAAGAACCGTGGGCAGATACTGGACTTTTCTGGGAGAAAAAAATCACTTAGTAACTGAGGGGATTAAAGCTGCAGAATCTTCCTTCACCTGGTGCGTGAGACTTGGAAACAGATACCAGTAGCACCAAATAGACAGCTGTGGAGTGTGTGTGTGTGTGGGGGGGGGGGGAATGTCTGGATAGTACATTTGAGTGGGCATTCACTGTGGACATCAACTCCACTCTTCATTTTAGTCCTTCTGTGTTAATCCTGGAATCGTTGCTGGCGGCCCACTTTTCCCAGCCTTGGCTAAGAACACAGCCTCTTAGAGCGGCCGGCCCCGTGGCATCATGCAGGAAATCTGCTTTGGGAAGCTCATAGCACAGACCCGCGAGGTGAGGGGGTACCCACCCGCCCAGGTATGTGCCTGATTTCTCCCTGACTTAACCTTGGCCCTCCTGAAGGCCGTTTCCTCATTGCCTTCCCAGCAGGTGGTTTGGCTTCCTCTGGAATGGGAACATTTGCTTGGCAAATTCTCCAGTGGACCCCGGCAGGGAAAGGCGAGGCACGTGTGCGCATGTGTGCTGCGTCTCTGACGCGCGGCGGGGCCGGGAGATACGTCCTGAGGTCAGCTGCAGAAGAACGAGGTGTCTGGCAACTCGAATAACGCCACTACCAGGTGTGTCAAAAGGCCAATGTGTAAGCTAAAAGCCAAGTGCCACCCAACGGACACCCCCACTTCCCGCTGCAGTGTCTCGGAGATTAGATTGTCTCCACCGACCTTGGAGTTTCCTCTCAGTGGGCCTGAGCCAACGGCCAGCCCCGCTTGGCAGACCCTGTGAGCGGGGTGGACTGCAGTCACGCCCAGCGAGCCTGGGATGGGGGTCTCGTCTGAAGACACGGTGTCCCCTCCCTGGTCAGCTCAGCGCTCAGTGGGAACCAGGGCACTACGCGTCCAGACAGCCTCAGACAGTTCCTGCTTTAGACTGACACGCCGGATTATTACCGGGTGCCAAGCAGCCGGGGCGCCCTCCATTCACCAGGCGGCTCTTTTCTGCCAGCTTTTCTCTCCTGCACTGCGGAGCAGACCAGCACAGCTGCCCTGGGCCAGAGGAGGCACAGGAGCAGGGATGGGGGCCGCGGGGGGTCGGAGTGGGGTGGTGGGTGGGGGATGGGGGGTAAGAGGGGGGAGACTCTTTTGGCTGGGCCTCTTCTCTCCTTGGCCGCCAGCCATACAGAAAAGCACATAGGGGCTGGAATGATAGTACAGCGGGTAGGGCATTTGCCTTGCACGTGGCCGACCCTGGTTCGATTCCCAGCATCCCATATGACCCCCCCCCCCCCCCCCCAGCACTGCCAGGGGTAATTCCTGAGTGCAAAGCCAGGAGTAACCCCTGTGCATCACCCGGTGTGACCCAAAAAGAAAAAAAAAACCCTCAAAGCACACAGCACCACTTTCACTTTCTACACTTCTAGTCACCAAAATGTAGGGTTGGGTTTGGTTTTGGGGCCACACTCAGCGATGCTCAGGATCTCAGGGCTTACCCCTGGCTCTGCACTCAGGAGTCACTCCTGGTGGTGCTCCAGGGACTGTATGGGGTGCAGGGGATTGAATCCAGGCATGCCACATGCAAGGCAATTGCCCTACAGGCTATATTGTCTCTCCAGCCTCTATGAAGGATTTTTAAACATTAGGCTTTGTTGGAGGAGGGACATACCTGGAGATGCTCAGGG